GCAATGTGCAGGACGATGGAGCACTGGGTCCCCAAAGTGGCACTGCTGGTGCTTAGAGGGTGCTGGAATGGGGGGCGGGGGTGCTAAGAGGGAGAAGGGCAGAAGCCGTGCAGGCGACTGGAAGGCTTTTTCCTATTTGTTTGCTTAGAGAAGATGGATTTCCAAGAGATCACAGGGCTTTTGTTTCATTTTCTGAAAAGGGGCCGTAGGCCGAAATAAGTCTGGGGTCCTCCAATGAGGCCCAGTGAAGCACTCAAGCACATTCAGATGCTGACCAGATACTTACGTGGTGGAAAGTCAACTTAGTATTATTACCTGATGCTACACTCAATTTCATTTAAGCACACAGTGCTAAATACTTTTATTTCATAACGAGAAGTCATGCTTTTTCAAATATATATTTTTTTAATACATATGCTGAATTGGGGTTTTGTGGTTATTGTGGTTGCTTCACAGGTGTTGAATCTGCTGGTACTGAGTCATCTTAGAGAACACACATGCCTCCAGGTATGTGCGCCTGTGGCCGTCACAGCCGCGCTGCGTGTACGGCCCTGAGATGTTCTGCACAGGCTCAGTCTGGGCACATTCACTTACGGGTGTGACTACTGTCCCATAAGTCACCTTGATTTCTTCTTACTTTTCATTTACTACATTGTATTGGTGTTCTGGGAATGTGTAGGCAGAGAAGTTAATCTCTGAATTGTATTTAAGGAGAGCCTGTGAATCTGCAACAAAGGAGCCAAATACGCCAAGTGGAGCAAGGAAACTCTCTTCAAAAAATGGTGTCAAGAAAACTGGGTAAACTGAAATAGGAACTGTATCTCACAACATTCACAACAAGTAACTCAGAGTAGATTAAAGACCTGGAGATTAGACTAGAATACGTAAAATACATGGAAGGAAAGAGAGGCTGAACTCTCCAGGAAATGGGCTCATAGGCTCCCGCACTTAAATGAGCTGACCACAGAAGCAAAAAAACAAAAAAGCAAAAAAGCAAACAGGACGACATCAAATTAAAAAGGGTTAGCACAGCAAAAGAAACTCAAGCTAAAATCAAAAGGCACACTACTGAGAGAAAATATCCACCCGCAATACATCAGATAAAGAGCTGATAATCAAGATTTATAAAGCACTCACAACGCTCAACCAATAACCAAGAAACCAATTAAAAATCCAATAACCCCATCCAAAAGTGGGGAGAGGAGATAAACAGACACTTCCTCAGAGAAGACACAAGGAGGGTTAGTAGGCGTATGAAAAATGAAAAAGCACTCATCGTCACATATTGTTATGGAAATGCAAATCAAAGTAGCAGTGAGAAATCATCTTACACCTGTGAGAATGGCATATGTCAACGCACCTGGAAATAACCAGTGGTGCGTGGTGGGAATGCGGTTAGAAAGGAAACTGTGCTCACTGCCGGTGGGAATGTCATGTGGTTCCACCTCCCTGGAAAGCAATATGGAGATTCCTTGGAAAAAATAAGAATGTGCGTGCAAACCAGCAATAGCTACCACTTCTTGGCACCAAAACACAAAACACTAATTCAAAAGGATATGTGGGCACCTCCATTCACTGCAGCGCTTAGTGCAATGCCAAGAGAAGAAAACAACTCAAACATCCCACCATAGGTGAATGGATCGAGAAAGTGTTCACATGATGGAATACCACGTGGCAGTAAGAAAGGATTTTGCAACCTGCTGAGACAAGGATGGAGCTAGCAGGTATCATGCTGGGTGACATCAGTCAGAAGGAAAGGAACAGACACAGAATGATCTCTTCCATCTGTGAGAAACCGAGAAACATGGTATGGAGCAACTAACGATCTAAGGAAAGCAAACTGGAGAGCTGGTCCACAGACCTGAGTTGACCAGGGGTGTACAGGAGTCAGAAGGGTGGAGAGGAGGGACTCCTGGGACACTGGTGGACAAAAGTAGCACTTGGGGGGTGGGCAGAGTGCAGAAATGATGTATAAATGAGACTATGATTGACAGCACTATTAATCACAGTTCCTTAATGAAATTCAGTTTGAAGGGGGAAAAAAGTGAACGCAGTTAAAGAGCTTTAAAAAAAGAAGGTATGAGAGAGAGAGAGAGACAGAGACAGAGACACAGAGACAGACAGAGAATGAGAGAGGCGGGTAGGAAGAGAGAAACTGGGGACACTGGTGGTAGGAAATGTATATTAGTGAAGGACCGGTGTTGGAACATGACATGACTGAAATCCAATCATGAACAACTTTGTAACTGTATCTCACTGTGATTCAATTAAAAAAATAAAACCCTTTTTTTAAAAAAAAAAATAACAAAGGTATTAGAAAACAGCAGTTTTAAACATCAGTATGAAAGCTCAGAAGGTGGAAAATGCAGCTTTTCATTGACAGATGTTCCTTAGGACACAGGTTGTCTTACGCTTAATTACTGTCACCTTGATAACTGTTGTAGCAGCTTCAACCAATAATAAACATTTGCTAATTCACTAACCAGATAAAATTGACAAAACCCATACTAATCAGCAAAACTATCAACTCTTTATTTTCTGGAACTACAAATACTATTCAATACATTGTAAAGAGAACCAAAGAAAATGACTTAATATCTCCATTTATTTCAAGGTTATAAGCAAATAATTTTAACAGGTTCAGCTTTTTGTAAAAAAGAAAGAGCAATGATATAAATTAGATTGCAAATTATACAGAATTTCTTCTTAATTCCCAAAAGCTTAAGAGCAGAAGTGAAGGGTAAGTTTAAATATTTTCCTTACCTTGCTCCTTATCTAATGTCCTCCAGTCAGTGAACTGCACAGTCACATGACCAATATTAAAGCCCAGAAAATTTCTGAATATGCTCTAGAAATCTCTGATGCCCACCTCCTGCCCTATACTTTGTTAATGTGGAAAATGTTCTAATACAGTGGATACCGGAGGAAAAGGGCACGGGGTGGACAAAATGGGCAAAGGGGTCACTCTGGCAATGGGATGGCATCAGAACTTTGGTGGCAGAGAGGATCTTATACAAATATGAAAATTATACCCTGAAATTCTACAATATTGTGGAATAATGATGAATTGATAAAGAGCAGGGCAAAAATCTTTAAAACGCTTGACTGACGATTACGGTTAGGCATCCCATTCATTGAGGGTCTGCTATTATTTTCTCAATAACTTCGAGATTAATATAACACCCCACCACCACACACACTCCCCTCTGAAACTGCAACTCAAACCCAAGGCTACACAGAAGTGAAGCGCGTGGTCTACCACTGAGCCACATCCCTGGCCGCAAAATCTATTTTTTTTTAAAGACTAAAGATAAATCAGTGACTTTTCGTTATGGCGCTTGAATAGTCAAGCAAGCCAGTGAGCCACATATAAACACAAACTGGACAAGTGAAGATACCACGAACAGGGGAAGGTGGGTCCCCCAAAGGGAGCACCCAGCCATAAGCCTGCGGGCCACCCTACACAAAACCAAGAACTGCCTCTCGCTAAATGAAGACAACACTCAACACCGGCCCTAAACCCAGAAAAGTCTACAATAACTCACCACAGATGACATAGTAAAGTAGGTGAACTGACTGTTCAAAACTGCAACTGCTGAATTAAAAATAGCAGCGGCACTGTGAGAGTTGCTAGGAAACCATTTCATTTATCTACCCTTTCCTAAAGTGCTGAAAGAAAGAATAGTAGGAAAATTATGGTGGGCCCGGCAAGCTCTGTTTTACTGCCAGACAAACAGCTTCCTCCCCATCACGTATTTTTTTCTTTTTTTAATATACTACAAAGGCAGAGGCGCACGATCAGTTTCAAAGGACACATTAATTTCAATGGCTGGGAAGTCACTCAAAACACACAGAGACCGGGGAAACCCAACAGGACAGCCACTCCTCATTGAACAGAAGAGTATCCTAAATCCACTTCACGTGCCCTTTGGTGGGGGCGGGAACCAGGGGGGGTTATTTGGGAAAATGCTGAGCACGTCAAACTCTGATCTTAGGGGCTGCAGCTATAGTACAGGACCTATAGGTGGACCTTTGCCTTGTAAGCAGCTGACCTGCGTTCGGTCCCCGGTACCCTATATGGTCCCTTGACCGACACCAGGAGTGAATCCTGAGTATTGGCCGGGTGTGGGCCAAAGAAGAAAGAAACAACGACAACAAAGTACTTTAATTTTGTGAAGGAAGGAAGGAAGGAAGGAAGGAAGGAAGGAAGGAAGGAAGGAAGGAAGGAAGGAAGGAAGGAAGGAGAGAGAAAGAAAGAAAGAAAAAGAAAGAAAGAAAGAAAGAAAGAAAGAAAGAAAGAAAGAAAGAAAGAAAGAAAGAAAGAAAGAAAGAAAACATGCTTGCTTGCTTTTTTGGGAGGGGTGGGAGGTGAGGGAATAAGAGGCCTCCCGGGCAGTGTCAGGGGCCGCCTCCCCGGGCTCCTCCCGCGGTGACCCACTGGCAGTCCCACAGCAGAACAATGTCCGGCCCAATGATGCGACCCCAGTGATGGGGAAAACTCTGCCACCCCCTGTAGTTCTGGGGGAGTCCCGTGGTGCTTGGAAGCAAAGCAGGGCCAGGAGAATGCACAATGCGCACCCCCTAGCCCTCTCCTCCGCCCCCCACCCAGAGACATTTATTGTCAATAAACCCATGCCAAAGAAGCACCAACTTCTAAACTTCCAAACCTAAGAAAATGGACGGAAAAGTAAAATCACTGGAAACCGGCAGTAAAGGATTTCTTTAGAAAGTGTTGATTCCTGGGGCGAGGAGACAGCTGGCCCCACGTTCACTCCCTGACAGCACCAAGTCCCCTGAGCGCCTCTGGGCCTCACCCAGGCACCCCACGCACGGCTAGTGTGAACTTGGAACCCCAGCCACAAATATTCTCAATCTCTCTCCCTCTCCCCCTTCATCTCTCCCTCTCCCTCTCCCCCTCCATCTCTCTCTCTCTCTCTCTCTCTCTCTCTCTCTCTCTCTCTCTCTCAAGAACAGACAATTGTACTGAGTGCGCTTCATACCGTAGGGCTTTTCTTCTGTTACTCTGCCCGTGGAATCCAGCGTGTCCGTGGCCTTGCCGAGTTCTCCAATGGCAATATACCTCTAGAGGAAGACACAAGAAGAGGAGGCCGTAAGAGAAGCTCTCAGGCATGGCTCGAAGGTCATGCCAAATTTTACTAATACTTGGCACATCCTGATACACCTTAGACGCAAACGTAATAGACCACAGTTGTATATTAATTGACAAAATAGACCTGTGCATAAGACGGAGTCATTAACTTTCCACTCCAGCCAAAATGATAAAGAGTCCAATGTCACTTAGAACTCAAGAACAAAGGAGTGGGGGATGGCAGGATATAAAACACACCCTGCTGCACTCGGGAGGTACTCCTGGCTCTGTGCTCAGGAGTGACTCCCAGCGGCACTTGGGAACCACACACAGTGCTGGGGATTAGAACGGGGGCTGGCCACATGCAAGGAAAGCTCCTAACCTCCTGTACTAGCCCTCTGGTCCTATTATTCCAATTTTTAAAACCAGTTTTGATTTTGAAGGAAAAGTATCAAACCTCTGGGTACAAAGAATGGTATAATAGGTCACTAGATGATCGTCCTGAGATTCAACAACTTTCCACATACATAATTTAATTTCAAAATAAATGCATTATTTTTTTTAATGCACCTCCTTTTCCCTTGAATGAAATCTTTTACCTAATTTGCTACTTTCTTTCTTTTGGTTTGGGGGTCAACACTGGTGGTATTCAGAGCTTACTCTGCTGGTTCTGTGCTAAGGAATCATGCCTGGCAGGCTAGATGTGGTGCTGAGGATCAAACTTTGGGTTGACTATGTGAAGGGAAGCACTTTACTCACTGTACTATATCTCTCTGGTTCCAATGTTTTACTTCTCAGATTAAAAAAAAAAAGACTAATTTTAGTAGCTTGATTTTGCACTTAAACAAAAGAGAAATGTAGGAAGTGAGTACTGCTCATTCAGTAAAGTATAGCAGAAACAGTATAGCAAAGGTAAAATACTATTACATGGTTTTATTTGGGGGGGGAGGGGTATGGGAGGGTGCTATGGGATCACCCAGCTGTGCTCAGGGATCACTTCTGGCGGGGCTCGGGGAACCACATGGGATACCACAGAGGCAAGGCAAACACCCTTCCTGCTGTATTATCGCTCCGGCCCCAGATGTATTTTATTATCAAAGAGAAACTACTACTTCTTAAGCTTTCTCAAGGGGAAAAAGTCACTTCCAAGAACTGATCGTTATTCACAATAATTAGCTCATTCTTAGCTAAGGAGCGGTTGTTTTCTTTGTCATCCCAGGGCATGTTCATACTCTCTGTTGTTTATAGCCCTCTCTCAATTAAACTCCACTTCCCCCTCCCACACCCGATGAACCACGTGCCGACTGTGGACCCAGGCGTGAGGGAAACACGTGACACACAGATGCCTGAGCACACAGCCGTCAGGCTCCGGAACCCAGAGGGGCCTCCGACTCAAGTGCCACAGGAGACGCGGGGAAACTTCAGAATTCAAATTTCCGCTGAAACTAATTTGTAGCTATAAGAGAAACTTTTGTTTTATTTTACATTTATTTATTTATTTATTTGCTTTTGGGGTCACGCCCAGTGATGCTCAGGGGTCACTCCTGGCTCTGCACTCAGCAATCACTCCTGGCGGTGCTCAGGGGACCATATGGGATGCTGGGATTCAAACCCAGATCGGCCGCATGCAAGGTGCCCTACCCACTCAGGTGCCCTACCCACTGTGCTATCGCTCCAGCCCCTAGGAGAAACTTTTAAAAGAGGAAGCTCAAAATTTATGAGAACACCGAAGGAACCAAAGACAAACACCCAGAAAGTATTTAAAAATTCAAGTTGCCCGAGAACTAGCCAATGTGCCCCATGCTGATATCAACCTTTTATTCTCAAGACATTTCCTTTTACAAATATACAACATGGGAGGAAATGCTGCAAGGCACTTAACTCATTTACTTTATTTTGCTGTTGTTTGTTGTTTCTGAGTCAAATGTGGTGGTGCTCAAGTGTTATTCCTGGCTCTGTACGTAAGAATTCCTCCTGGAATTTTGCTCCATGGCTTGGAGGCCAGCCACACATGCTAGGGGAAAAGGCAGCTCAGATAGAGAAGGGAGCACCAAATAAAGGGTGTTGGGAGGATCCTCCCAGGATGGGAGAAGCATGCTGAAAGTCGACTATAGACCAAACATGATTGTCACCCATTGCCTCTTTTGCAAACCACAACACCCAAAAGGAGAGAGAGAACAAAAGGGAATGCCCTGCCACAGAGGCAGGGTGGGGTGGGGGGGGTGAGGGGTGGGAGGGATACTGGGATCTGTGGTGGTGGGAAATGGGCACTGGTGGAGGGGTGGGTATTTGATCATTGTATAATTGAAACCCAAGCACAAAAATTTGTAAGTCTACAACTGTACCTCATGGTGTCTCACTAATAAAAATTTTTTAAAATAAATAAATAAATAAAATAAAAGGCATTGGGGGGGAAAAAAAAAAGAATTTCTCCTGGCAGTGCTTAGAGGACCGTACTGGGTGCCAGGGATCAAACCCAGGTCATCCGTGTGCAAGGCAAGCGCCCTACCTGCTGTATTATCTCCCCAACTCCCTTAACTCATTAAAAACAACAACAACAAAAAACCCAAAATCCCGGAACTCAGTGGGCAGTGGGATCAGAGGAGTGGGTAGAGCAAGGCCCTGTCACGTGGGAGGCCCTGAGCTCTGTCCTGGCACCTCATGGCCCACCCAGAACTGCTGGGTGCATAGCCAGGGTCGCTGCCAAGCACCATGGGAAGTGACCCAGGTGACCCCAAGCAGCACTGCCAGGCCTGAAGAGCAACATCAATGGGCCAAGCATCACACCAGTGGGATGGTGCCGCCAGGCCGAGCATCTCTGGATTGGTCTCCGGGTTCCTGAGTGTGCCCACTGGGGAGAACACCCAAAAGTGTTTGGAAAAATATTCTTTGAACAAGATAATGAAGCCAATCAGCTGAGATGCATCAGTGCCTCGTGTGTGGTGCACCGTGAGCCTGAGTGGGCCTGGGGAGAAGTTCGGCAGAGGTGCGGGGTGGGGGGGGGGGGGGGAGGGGGCAGGGCCACACTTGGCTCTACTGCAGCAGGGAAAAGTGGTTTAACTCTACTACGGAGCCTCAGCGCCTGACCGTAGAAACCAGGATAAAGCAATACCTCACGAGAAAAAGCAGAGTTTGGAATAACAGTATCTAGTCCTGGTAGGCAAAGGGAAAGAATACTATTACTGTGTGTGTGTGTGTGTGTGTGTGTGCGTTCTACATGTGTATATGTGCATGCATGTGTGCATGTGCATGTTTACGTGTATCTGTGTGTACGTGTGCGTGCATGTGTGCACACAGCCTGATTCTCAGGGTCGCAGGGTTTGGGGTGACTTCTCCATCTACTGCAAGCTTCCATTAGGTGCTATGAAGCCAAAAAATGCTCCAAACTTTGCCCTCGCAATTCTTCTAGTTGCATAATAAGGACAGAGTGAAATCACGAGACTGTGGATTTTACGCCAGGTTGTTGTACGAGGGCTTTGGGTCTGGGGCCATACCCGGCGGTGCTCAGACTTTACTCCTGGCTCGGCACTCAAGGGTCACTCCTGGTGGGGCTCAGGGGACCGCACGGGCTGTAGGGGATGGAACCCGAGTCTGGCCAGCACCTTGCCTGCTGTACTATCTTTCCAACTCTGCAATACTGTTTTAACCAGGAGCCTTAACTTGTATACTAACCAGAGGATGCTTTTTCAGTCTCTGGATTCTAAGATCCTGGGCCGTGACCAGTTTCTTCCCCAAGGAGGAAACGTGATTGATGGCCCAAAGCTGCCCTCTTAGTGCCTCCCAAGCCCGGTCACCCACTGTGGCTTCGAGGGGTCTCATAAGAAATTTCTGGTGTAAAACACAAATTTAAGACCTATCTCGAAACACACATCCCATTCATCCTACTAGTAACGTTCTCATCTGGTCAGACTTAAAGACTATGAATGGACCAGGTACTGTCCGAGGTACCTGAGAGATACAAACACACACGCACCAACTGATCCCCACCTCCAGGTCACTGTGGACAGGAGGCATCAGTAAGAGGGCAGCCTGCAGAGGGGACAGGGAGAGGAGCAATGACAAACACTGACAGCTGTGTGTCCGTCCCCCGTCCCCACCAGCCCCTTATCTTACTGAGGTCTCAGGCCACCCTGGTTGGCATGTAATGACCCCAGACAACTGTTCTATCTTTCCACGTACATTTTCTAAATTGGCCCTTATCTTTCCAAATTATTAGACTTTGCACTGTTCTGCTACGTAGCTTACTAAATGGAAAGACCACAGTAGCTTTTTAGTTGGGGTGGAGCGGGGGAGTGCCAACAGAATGATACACCTGCAGGGGCGGTTCCTGTGTGCCAGATTCCTCCCATCCCCCTCACATCTCCTGCTTGCTAGGGTTTCCAACCCCCAGATTCTGTCTGCCCGGCCTCTGACCCTGGCCGGGTCTGCGCTCCCACTGCGTCGGATGCAGGCTGGATTCTTCTCCAAGGGACACATGCCCTCATCTGGCAGTTTTAAAGCCCGTGGTTTCAGAGCCTCTGGAAACACTGGAAAGTTACTGGGCAACCTTGGCATACGTCTTTTGACATGGGTACTCTCTGTAAATATTGAGTGTTGGAAAGGAAAAATGTTCATAGCAAACAAGCACACAGTCCATGAACCCTCGGAGTCAGGCAGGCCCTGGAAAAGGGCAGGGCGGGCAAGTGGGATGGCAAGTAAAGAGACAAACGTCACGAAACAGTTCTGATGTCCTCAGACCCCCCTAAAGCCCTCAGCGGGCCGTCAATTACACTCTGTGAAACGCTGATCTCAGCGAGAGCTGTTCTCTTACCTTTCCCTTGTCCTGGTAATAGTATCTTTCAAGTCTATTCAGTGATCCACAAAGTATTGAAAAAAAAAAAAGAAGAAAAAAAAACCTACCCAGACAGCTTAATTTCTAGCTGGAAACAAAACCTCACCACCAAGAAAGGAGGGAAGAAAATAGTTACGATCGTATCCTCTGGGGTTTGAAGCA